GACAACCTCTGCAGAAGTGGGCCGCCAAAACTTCAATTGTTCCTACTGCTAAAACCCTACATGATTAATTTTATTTCTTTTTTTTTCTTTTTTTTGACTGGGAAATTAATCTGTTTATTTCATGAACCACACTTGTCTTGGTGTACTTCTTTTAACCCACTAAATGCTTTTGCACTGTTTCTGTCGGCTGAACATTTTAAGGTGAAGTTATAAAGGAGACCAGACCCATGGCAGAATCCAACATGTTGYCTACATTTGATAGGGCACCTGTTATTGAAAGGCTACCCACCAATGTTGGYAAGAGGAAGAGCACTACGCCTCAAAAATTTGTGGGTGAGTATTTCAGATTTATTCAATCACTATTTAAGGAGAAATGCATTTTAGGTTTTCCTTTAGCATTCTTTAACATTATGCATAAATGCATTTTTTCTAATACCTCAAATACTAAAAACACATATGCACACTTTAATTGATATTTGCTAGTGTACTTTGTTTAGGAAGCATTTTTGAAAAGTTATATTTTAAGTTTATTTTCAAAACTKATTTCCCTTTTGGCTTAAAAAGCATTATAATCTTACATTTGATTTATATTTTCAAGCAGTTTAGAAGACATTTTCACTTTCTTCACAGTGTTGCAGSATAACATTATATCATACATCAACTCTGACCTTTTTACAAGATTTTTTTCAAGCTTTTTTTATTTGCCACACTATTAGAGGAAAAGATTGAGCAAGCTAGAGCAAGCAGAGGACTCAAAGGCAAGGAAGTGTTTTTCTCTCTGTGGTTAGGTACACCTGTAACTTTGCCATTGCTCTTATCAAGAGAAAACAGCTTACCGCATCCCTGATCTGGAGGGGTTAAACAGTGCAATAGTAGATGGATGGGGCTTTCCGCCCCATTAGAATTGAACATATTGTGCAAAATGTGACAAACAAGAATGACACAAAAAAATGTGACAGGCTTGACGGGAAATTCAAAGTGAATTACATTACTGTGTATACTGTATGTTTTGGACTTTAAATTTGAAGTTACAAGATTTTTTTTTTCTTTTTTTCCACATTTATAATGTTTGTAACATGCATATAAAATCTAATTTTGCTCATATTTTATGCAACTCTTTTACCCATAGGAGACAAGATGATTCGCTACAGCTATTCTGACATAGGCTATGGGTTGCACCCAAAGTACGAAAACCGTCCTGAGCTGATACCAGCACACTTGATGGACCAGACTATCAACAATGCGATGTCATATCTGGGATCAGACACCCTACGACCCATGCTCCACCATCCTGGTCCTTCATTATCTATGGGTGAGGTGTTGCCTATTGTCAACCCTCTTTTCCATCCTGTCCTACCACTGAGCCAGCAAACAGACCGCCCAGGAAACTGTGACACACTTCATCCTCAGCCACCCCAACACCACGAGTTCCCTGGCCATCCCTCCTTAAATGGCCCCACTGCCTTTGCTAAGCAGAACAAGCCACTCCTGTCTGGACAAGCAGAATCACCTAATAACAGCGGTGTCGACTCCGCTGACTCAGCTCGCAGCAGCCCTCAGGACAGACAGGGCTACCATGGTAGCAACGCCTCTTCAGGCCCCAGATCTCGATCCAGTCCAGCTGTAATAAGTTCGGTTGAGCGAGTTATTGTCGCGTCACCCAGCAGCGGGACAGGAGCAGGAACGGGGATGATGAAAGTGGCCCCAGAGAGGTCTGTGATCCAGGAAGGTGTGCGGGTGTTTGGACGAGAGGGCCATGAGTTGCGAGCCTTCCAGTGTGAGCACTGCCGTGTGCTTTTCCTGGACCACGTCATGTACACCATCCACATGGGCTGTCATGGATATCGAGATCCACTGGAGTGCAACATTTGCGGTCATCGAAGCAAGGACCGCTATGAGTTCTCCTCACACATAGTTCGAGGTGAGCACACGTTCCACTAAGAGGATGGGCCACGGTAAAGGAGACGCTTCAGAAATGAAAGGAGCAATAGTCTGCTGTTCATCCTTACTCTTCTGAAACTGCATAGCTAAATGGCACTGTCAAGTGTAGCACAATCAAAAGACTTATTTTTAAGCTACCTATAAACTGGAATTGTTGAACAATCATATGAAGGTATGGGCCAAAGACACATTTTTTAAACTTATTTAAATACTTTAGAGAAAATGAAATGTGTTTGTTTTGGATATATATATCTTTTTTTTCCTTTTAAAAATGCAATGATTTAGTAACAGAGTAGCTATTAGATGTTTTGACTGCTTTTTTTTTTATTAGACAGTCACATTTTTCCGCTTCTGCGTTTTAAGCTTAAATATCACAATGACAGTGAATGCATGGAGGCATATCATAATCACATACCTTGTAAGCTCATGATGGTGTAGAATTTAAATATCAACTATATTTACTAACAGAAGTGAGAACATAATACAAAAAAGGCTCAAACATTTAGCAGATATTCATTACAAACTTTAAATAAGTTTGGAAGTTATTGTAACTCATATACAATGAAAAAAGTACTGCATATATCTAAATGTTTAAATTCTGCAAATATGTCAGATTTTAATCTTTTCAAGGCTAATTTAATTTTGTGAAGTAAATGAATCAGAATATTACCACTTTTGCTAATGCTATTTGTTTCACTAATTGTTTAATTCAGTCTTATGTGGGCATCTCTAAACAGAGCTTCTACTCATCTTGCACTTATAAGGTAAAGTATTAGAATATGAAATAAAAYCACAGTTGAACCACAAAAGTCACCAATGTGTTCACCTCTGTGRTTTAAAAAATATTGGCAGGGACCATGCATTTAATGTCCTTTTCTTTTACATTATGAGACAAATCGTGTTGCCTTCAGCTTTAGCACAGCATTAGAATCTTAAACTTTATGCATTTAGATTTTAAACTATAAGACTATATTGATCAGTGGAGAAAGGGTAATTGTTTTCCAGCTGATGTCCTTAAATTCTACAATTAACTACCTGGCTGTAAGACAGTGCTTTGTGGAAAATAAGCCCCAAGATATTTTGTTAAGACTCAATTTAGCAGTTTACCTTAACTCATGTTTATTAGACATTTTATCTGTTATACTTTGAATTTTGTTTTTGAAAGGAAAAGTGTATTGTTGCACCACAGTAAAGTTATGCTAGTCTGTCCCCATTGCACAGAAAAAAAAAACAACTAAATTTATTGAATCTAGCACTTAGATGTCTGCATATTAGCTTTAATCATGCTAGAATAGGGCTTATCTTTTTTTCTACTCCTCTTAGATGCCATCTCATGAACATGCAACACACTAAGGTCTGTCATGTTCCCTTCTTGTCTTAATTTTGCTCTCTGCGTTTCTATATGTCACCACCTTCATGCATGACCTTTTACAATAAAGATCAAAAAAGGACAAGTGTGTGCAAAAGAATAAGTTAACAGAGGGTGTTCGTCATGTATTGTACTACTATTGAGAAGGCACTTATGAAAACTGTAGCTCATGTTCCAAACCACCTCAATAGGCCTCTAATTATTACGACTTTTTTTGAAACAAAATGTAAAGGGCAACTAAGGCACCCCCACTCAAGTAAAGTGAAGGATAATAAATGTTGATTTAACAGGCCAGTTGTGTTTTTTCCACCCTTATGAAACAAATCAAGATTGGGTTAGGTAGTTGGTCCAAATCATGCACTTTATGTATCATTTAAGGCATATGTGTATATATATATAT